AAAAAAAAAAAAAAAAAAAAAAAAAAAAAAAAAAAAAAAAAAAAAAAAAAAAAAAAAACGGCTCCATCGTGAAGATAACATTGAATTTTTCCACCAGTAATCATCAAAGATCTTTGGAAAACTTTGTTTCGCTACCCGAAGCCCCCTTTGGACCAGCACGCGCGGGTTGAAACAAATTGACGACGAACAACGCAAAACAACCTTGGTTTAAAAAAAAAAAAAAAAAAAAAAAAAAAAAAACAACCGCATTGGTTTTACTTATGTAAGATAGAGCATGATGGTTGGTAAGTATACAAAAATACCTATGCACGCATGCAGACACGCGCCGAAGCTTGCACTTGCCCTTTTAAATTTTCTAACCTTCTTGCACGGACGAATCAGCATCATCGGCACACACCGAGCTACCACCTCAACAAGCACCAGCGAAAAAGTAAAAAAAAAAAAAAAACAAAAAAAAAAAAAACAAGCAGCTCAAAGACACACACTTGAAGGTATAGAGAGAGAGAGAGATGCGTGTAAATTCACCTGGTTGATGAGTTTGGTCGAGAGCTCGGGCTCCTCGTCGTTGAGCATGGCGAAGAGGGTGATGGCCAACCCGTCCCTGGCCGCGTAGTAAACCCGGTTCATCAGGGAACTACCGACGATTTCCGTCTCCTCTTCCATCCTCTCGGCTGCACCTCCTCGCATTTACCGCTCGTCCCCGATACCTCCGCGGCACCAATGATTACTCGCAAGGGCTATTTACTCAACCAGGTACATATATATCATATATATATATATACATATATACACGAGCCCAACGGGATGGTCGCCCAACAATGGCTCTCTGTCTCTCTCTCTCCGTCGTCGATGACCCGAAAAGAAAAGCAAAGGAAAAAACAGCACACGCGCACCTCCGAGCTACACCTGCTAATGACAAATGGCACGCGTTAGCAATCCTATACGACGCTGTACCTATAGGTTTAGCATCAGTAGAAGGACCGAACTTGGCCAACACCGAGCACTGTCTGTCTCTTCTCTCAGTTCTCTCTCTGTTGACTGTTGCGCGCGCGGAGTCGACGAGCCAGCATATGTTGGAGGGACTAAGAATAATATATTTATATATACGCACCTGCGCGGCCGAGCTTGCTTTTTAGAGTCGAGAGCTTTTGCGGAGCGAGGGAATGTCATATACCTATATGCGTGGGTGCGTGTACTCATACACGTCCATAAGAAAGAAAAATCGGTATAGGTAAATGAATATGGAAGAGCAGAGAGTATTGTGTCAAAATACAATGTCATCTTGAATATTTTCCTTCTCTCGTTTTGTCCACCAAAGTGCCAATTAAGTTTTTGATCCGATCTCTGTGCAATATATGGGACTCTGGTTCATGGAAATGGAAATATTTTGAATACTTTGGCCCCTGGCTCGAATTTTCCAACATCATGGTCCAGTGAGAACCAGAATTGTAGATTTTTACAATATAAAAAATGGCACTTTTCTTTATGATTGTTATATTACCTTTGTTTTTTTTTGTTTGTTTTTTTTTTACCTTTTCGCTGGTGTTTGATGCCTGAACAAATTAGAGTTGGACAGGCGAGAGTCTCATAGTAGAAAGTAATTATAACAATCATTGGAATCGCAGTTGGTTTGAGTAAGTAATAATAAAAAAAAGAAAAAGGCGTCTCAAAGTGAAACAAATCGATGCCAAGGGAGATTGTATCTACATTCAAACATGATGTGTATACCGTGGGTTTTTCCTCACAGTACAAAAATCCTTTGTTAAAAAAAAAAAAAAAAAAAAAAAAAAAGAAAAATGGAAATCCAAAGATCAGAACTGTATGTGATATAAAATAATGTGGTCTTACCTGTACTGTTCGTGCCGATGAAATTGCAGTGAGAATTCGAAAATAGACCGCCGAATGCAGCAAGCCCCTGATACATAACGTACAATAGAAATACGACGGGTAGCGCAATTGATTGCCATGCACCCGGTATTCATACCTATACAACTATAAACGTTGCGAGTGTTAAAACATTTACAAACGTATATCTACTTACCGATATTACGTATAAGAAAAACGTCATGACCCGTTTCGGCAGTGAAGCAAAAGAAATTGAATTTTCGTGCCAATATGAAGAATAAAATCACTTGTGTTCAAACATTACTTATAAAAACAATATCGAAGAAAGATTCAAGTTTTGCCATGAATGATGATTCGCACAGTCGGTTAAAAATAAAACCCTCATTGATCTTCACTATATCTGATTTATCTCTAAAAAATGGCACGAGATACGATACAATGCAATGCCATGATTTATGTGTACATTGATAAGCACACACGACGTGTATAAAATATACCATGGCGATAAAAATGCACCCCTCGAGGACATGGTAAAAAATAAAGTACAATCTCTACTTATTTATTTATTTTTTGTCAACTAGTAAATACATTTTTTTTCAATACATCACAATGCTTATGATTTTCGGAACACCGACATAGTTTGGTTACAGACAATGAGGATGAGAACAAAATAGTGCACCAAAGCATCGCCTTTTTTTTTTTTTTTTTTTTTTTTTTTGTTACAAAGGCTTTTTTCCCCGAGTCAATCAATCTTGCGAGCAGCTACAACCTGCACAAAATTTTCCCACTTTAGGATAAAAATAGACCGAGTGGCCATAAGTTCACTGTCTCGAGTGCCAAGGCCAAACATCGGCGTCGCGCAGTTTTTCCGCAAAGTCCGCGAAAGGGTGTAACGACCGGGTGCAGCTCTCATACACGCTTGGTCCCCCACAAAATCTAAGCTTCGCGAACACCGGCAATATCAAGTTAAAAGGGCCACGAAAAAAAAAAAAAAAAAAAAAAATTCACTCCACGAAGCATCGGTACATCCTCAAGGACCCCATACAGCCGCGCAGAGAATCCGAAAGTGGAGTCGTGCGTATAGGGTATTTATGTATAATATATGTGCCCAGTATCTCGTCTCCGGAGAAAACGATCTCGACGTTCTGGCGCCCGGCACCTCGAGAAAAGAAAGAGCGTCGCGGAATATCATATCTCTCTCTCTCGCGTGCGCAGGTAAGTGCGCTTCATTTCGCCACAAAAATACACCGAGCTATTTCGGTCGTACGTGAACTTGTTCGCGCGCTATATGGGACGCGTATGATGCGCGAATCGCCCAGTAACGCGTATACGAAAAGTATAGCGTCCGAGTGGATTCAATGGGGGGTATACTATATGTGTGCGTGTGTATAGGGTACTGGTGGCCAAAAAATCAAAGTCAAGTGCAAATAGCGTTCGCGTCGCAGATCGTTTCCTTCTTCTGCTTCTTCTTCTAGCTGTGCCCGCGTTTTGGCTACTCGCTCTGTCAGCACCTTGACGCGACACGTATGGGCCACTTGCGCGACAGTAACTATTGGCAAGATTGGCGGGTTTTAGAAAAAAAAAAAAAAAAAAAAAAGGTATCAAGGTACTTTTTTCCCCTCATCGGTTACTTCAGAGATGCATTCGCTCTGCTCTCCATTATTATCAATATGTGGATTTGTGCTCGTGCACACGACCAATTGAGAGAGTAAAATAAAACTCAAAGATGTTGATGACTATTTTTTGAGCTCAACACCAACCTCGTCAGGCTCACTTTGTTAGAGGCAATTTAATAAATTAGTTACAAGGGCCCATAAACTTTATAATAAAATTTATAAAAAAAAGAAAAACAACATCTCGAAATTTCATTTTACTCCTTACGTAGCTGTCAATTGGTCGTGTGCTTGAGCACAAATCCACCTACTCATATTTGTTCAACCATCGAAGTTGTTAAAGCAACCATTCGACCATCATAAACTATTATTTAATAGCTGGGTTAACCAAATTTTTTTTTTTCTTTTATATTGATAAATATATATATTTTTTTTTTCAACTCGATGCAGTAAAGCGCCCAAAGTTTCACAATTTGGGTAAGATTTCAATGTATAGCCTGGAGGAAGTTTACTACGTAAACTCGATTGTGTTTTGGGCTTCCGGAAGGTTTCGTAAACGCTGCGCGTGGGGATTACGTACATAAATATGAAATAAAAAATGTTCAAAGTTATAAGGCCACGTTTGAACTTACATTTTTCGGAGGATTTGTACAGAAGGTCAAAGTTGTCTCAATAAAGTTGGTTGAACAATGGTTTGTGCACTGTAAGATTCGTGAAAAAAGAAAAGATTGTTAGACCCTTTTTTTATATTATTGTATTATTATACTCGAAAAATAAGTTATTTTAGTTCTATGAGTAAGAAACGAGAAAACAGATCGTGACTTACGCATTTGTTGGAGAAAGTTTTTAAATGTGAGCTCTTTGTGAAAAAAACTGACCTTGTGCTCGAGTGAAAAATGACTTTTTCTGGTCTGGTTGTACACGACGGAGCATAAAATATACCGATCGCCAGGAAATTCCATCAATCATTCAGTCGCGCAACACGTATCTTTCCATTAGAGTTTGGCAACAAAGTTTTTGTTTGACAAAAAAAAAAAAAAAACCTTGTTGGAATGGTTCCCACTTTTCCCAGTGTTGATTCGTCATAGGGAAATCTCGCACAGCAACGATGGCAATGTTATTTTTATTTATCGCTATTTCACCCATAACCGTTGGAAAAGCCCTCACAATTAACTCTTTGAACAAACAAAATTCTACAAATTGCAAGAGCGTGAGAATGTCACACATTTTAAAACCATACCTGCACGAGCAATGAATTTCCTTTCACTTATGGTACACTATACTGTATGCATCACTTTGTTCTAATAAAATTTCGTGACGATTAATCTCGTAAGTATATTCTTGGAAGTGCAAAAAGTGGATGAATTTACAAAAGTTGTTTTAGCGATAAAAAATGATTGTTTATTAAACTCGTAACGTTGAAAAATACTTAAAATTTGCTGCCAAGTTGAAGCTGCCAGATTAGAAAAATCCGTCGATCCAATAAATTCAAAATCTCATATCTAATTCCGTCAAATGACCCAAGCCAAGACAACAGCCGCTCCTCCTTTTTCACGTAACCATAAAAAAAAAAAAAAAAAAAAAAAAAAAAAAAAAAAAAAAAAAAAAAAAACCAAATTTTTGAGGGAAAAGAAAAGAAAGCGATGAATCAGCGCGTGATTCGAAGAGTCAAATCGACGCGCGAGCCGTGCCCTCGCTAACCTTCAACTACTAAAATCGTGAAAAGTCGGGTTGTTTTGGCTCGCGCGCGTAGCTCTCCCGTCTCTCCCGATTTTGGTCGAGCAAAATGGGCAACGAGCGAAATAAAACCGGGGAGATGGAGGCGAAGACGGAGACTTGGCGAGGCCAGCTGAGAGCAATGAACGAGCGCTTCGAGGAGCGTCTCGACGAGAGCGTCTTCGAGGGCGTGCGGGACGAGAGGGTACACCACGGCCTCAAACTCACCGCCTCCACGGTGCTCTACAAAAGCTTCGTCGATCTCTGCTTTTGCGACCGGACAAAGGTACGTGCAAGGAGTCCTCCGACTCTTCTGCAGGGCACAACTTCGGGACAACAATTTTCGTCTTTGGCGTGTCCTGAGGAGTATAGGGACAAAATTTTAATGTTTTTTTTTTTTTCCCCCCACGAACTAACTATATTAGACGCACAAGTTTTGCTTACATTTTTTTTCTTCCTGTAAATGACCGCACCATACGTTGGACAACTTTTATGTTGCCATGAGTCATATAATTGTCTTTTCTCCCTAACTTTTTTTGTAAACAAATAATAATAATTACAAGATAAAATTTAAAGTTTTGAGCGTGTATTCGTTAAAGGAGTATCTGGTGCTGGAAAAAGGCGTCGCGGTGCACCGGTACTCGATGCAGGGCAAACTTTTGCAGCCATCGTTCAGTTTGGAAGCACAGCAGACGTTCACGCGGATGATTTGGTGCGACGGTGCGACCGAGTGTCTCGCCTGCTACGATCCGGACGGCGAGCAAATCTGGATCATGACATCCTCGTGCGTTCTCCTGCAAACGATTAAAAACGAATTCCTTACGAGGGCCGTTTTTCACGATCGAGTCGCTAATCAGATCGTCGTTTTCGATACGCATCAGTCCCTCGTGAGTTCATGTGTATACATTAATGTTCAAAACCTATATAGATTCATCATTACAATCTTTTTTTTTTAATTTTTAATCAATATGTTAACATTATTCAAACGATATTGCTTAAGAATCCCCTTGATATTGTCAACCAATTGAAAGAAGTGGTTAATTAAAATTCGGATCGAAAAAGCAACTGACGAGAAATATTTCGAAATGGCACAATTATTATACATGGATTTTCAAATACATTGAAGGAAATTGTTATTCCTGAATGAAGTTTGGTTAAATTTTTTTTTTTTTTTTCATCATCTTCATTCATAATACAACAGCGAATAAAAAAAACTTTGAGGCTAAACAGTGCATTTTCAGAAAAAAAAAAAAAAAAACTCGATTGTTGTTGTTTTTCCGCCAAGAAAAGAAGTACCCGCTCGACGAGGCCGAGGTAAAAGACCTGGAGTCAACGAAGGCCCTGTCCTACAGCGATCCCGAGTTCGGTCCTACCTGGCAGCTCGACCACGCGGCTCTGGTACCCCAACAACGTCCGTCAATTATTCACCAAAGTATACATACAACACACACGCGCGCGCACGTCAATTAAAAATAAAAAACCCCCGCATTTTCAGCACCCGACAAAGAGACTCTCGGCTATTACATTACGCACTAGTTATATTACCAAACTGTAGGTAATATCCATTTGGGGTCTTTTTTTAACCTCCGCAGTAGGAGCCAGCCAAGCGCTGTTGGCAGCCTCGCACATGGCCATACTGTACCTAGTGCCGCTCGACCCGATCGAGGACGAGGAGGACGAGGAGGGCACCGGCAGCGCGTATCTAAAGAGGCGGCTCAACGCCACCAAAGCGCCCATCACGGCTGTGCACTTCAACGCCTCCAGCTCGTGGGTGGTGGTCGGCGACCAACAGGGCAACGGTAAGGTATAGTATCCAGGGTCAAAAAAATGTCACCTTGAATACCAAAAAACGACAGTGACGGCCTGGAACTTGAGCCTCGAGTGCGTGCTGTCTCACGGGGGGGCGCACGACTCGCGGGTGCGCTGGCTCGCGTCGCACCCGTCGATCAACGGCTTCCTCAGTTACTCGCACAACAGCAACGTCGACTCGCGGCTGCAGGTCTGGAGTTGCAACTTCCGGGGGAAAATTGAGTCCTTTTGCGAGCTCGGGCGCGTCCTGGGAGTCGCGGTCGTCGAGTCGGTGGCGGCAGTCGTCCTCCTGACCGCCCCAAAGCTCCTCTACCTCACCATGCGCCAGGCCTACGGGTTTTTCGCTCCGCTCACGTGCGTCACCCCCACCTCCCCCCGTTGTACATTTTTAAAAAAAGTGTATAATGTATATACGGTGACAGGTGCCCGACGAGGAGCTTGCTGTCGTCGTGGAACCCGATGTACCGGGGGAAAATCGTCGCCGCCAGCGAGGACAACAGCGTCAGGGTGTTCTCGCCGCACGGGAGACAGCTGAACGTGCAAATATTGCCGGGGAGTCCTCTGCACGTCGTCGCTTCCGTGTACAGTGGAAACAGAGGTGGACTTTTCTTTTTTTTTTTTTTTTTTTTTTTTTTTACATCCGTGTACATTTCAAGGGGGGAAGCTCGACTGATTTCGGCGATCGTTGCAGATCGACTGTACACGATTATCCTGAGGACCGGGGAGATACTCGTGAGCGACGCGAGCGTGTGTCCGATGAAGTTTTTGTAACTACCGTTTTTCTTGGAAGCGAATATATATAACCAAGTCGTTGGCTATTTCGCGTAATTATTATTTTTTTGTTTCGGAGCAATCGCCACAAGTGGGATGTATAGAGGGTTTTACGTATATATGGTGGCCAACAATTGTTGCTGCGGTGAATTTTCGCGAGGGTGTTTTACGGTGTTTTTGATTTTCCTCATCTCGGGTTTAAATTTTTTTTTTTTTTTTTTTTTTTACAAGACACGTGTTTGTGAGCGACGAGCTTGAAATGACCTGTGTGGCCGTCTACGAGTACTTTGAGGAGATTCGCGACGAAACTGGTCGTCCAAAGAGTAAGGGCTCCTCTTTCATGTTTCAGAATAAGTATATGTATGTGTCAGAGGCATGATTACCATCACTTTGGTCTTACTTTTAGAACCACGTTTGTTCAATGCCATCAGAGTTCGTATTGTCGCGGGTACCAAGGACGGAAAGCTCGTCGTTATAAACGAAAACACGGGAAAGCACGAGTATGTTTGTCAGGTGAGAGCCAGTGATTGGAGAAATTGTTGTTGTTGTTTTTTTTTAGCCGAAGATACATCGATTAACATTAAAACATGCGTTTAAAAGGCTCACAATGGACGGGTGATTCAATTGAAGTCGTTCGTGGCGTCGCAACGCGTCGTCTCCCTGGGAATCGACAGAAGCGTCAAAGTCTGGCGCGTCTTTGCCGATCTTGCCAATCCCTTGGCGCTGTATTACACTTTGAACTTCACCACTTCCATCGGCCACGTCTCTTTGATCGGGTGAATATTGCATATGGGAACTATTTTTTCTCACAATTTTATACAAATTGTGGTTTTTTTTGCTGATCACAGCCTCATACTCTGTATGGCCAAGAGTTCAATCAACAGTTCGATGCACCAACTACTCATGGAGGACATGCAGAGCAGAGGTAAACTCAAGCCATGCATGTGTACACAAAGTATTTTATGATGAAAAAATTTCAGTCCGTCTGGAGCACCACAACTCCAAAGATCACACTGAGCTAATAGTGGATGTAATAACTTCCGAGTCGTTGGAAATATGCGCGACGTCATCCTTGGATAACACGATTCGGATCTGGGACGAGGACAATTGCCTCCTCAAGGTAGTATACACAAGTGACCGTTCGATCGTGATATCCAGTAAAATGGCTTTTACTCTTTTTCCAACTACTCAAGATACTAGAAATCAACACCTGTGCGCAACTAGCGGTATTTTCATCCGTTTTGGGTGATATTGTCTTCAACGCCGGACGACACCTGTACAAAATTCCACACGAAAATTGTAAGCTCGTTCATCCGAGAATGGTAAACACGTTGATTTCAAATTGCTCAAACGATTGTAGATTTGTCGCCAAAGTATCGGGCAAAAATCGTGGCGAAGGAACTGTCAAGGGAAGCGGACGAAGATGCCGTTGTCGAAGACCCGCAGTACGGAGTTTACGACGATATCGTTGACAGGAATTTGATGGTTCGACCGGTTGTCAGTACGCCACTGGCTTCGTTGGATGTGACCAATTCGGATAAGCCTAGGCCAGATGATTTGATCCGACAACAAATATGCGGTCTGTACGAGTATAGGGACGAAGGTAGGAAAGATCCGAGTTGTAGGTGTACATTGGTGTGTTGCCACGCATTTCAATGAATTTGGTGCTTTTTCACAGATATAAGAAAAACACGGGATTATCAGATCGAGCCTCGGAAGAGAGTCTCTGACAGAGCACTGATGACGACGGATGTTTGGAACAAATACGTGGACGATTTGCTGAGTAGCATGACGCGATTCGTTCCCGAAGTACCCGAATATGATTTTAAAAATCTCAAAGAACAACAATCGGAAGAAAAGAAAGCCTACAACGACCGGGGAATCTTTCAAATGCGCTTTGGTAAGTATTTTTTGGCAATTAAAACAAACAACAATTTCCTACAATATTTGCAGACAAAAAACATTACAATTCGTCATTAATATTGAATTTTCGGATGTAGGGTTATTGATCAAAAAACTTGAAATGTATAATTATTGTGCACAGTCTAATTGGAGAGCAGTGTGATTTTTTATTTTATTAGAATACAAAGGCTGTATTTCGCTAAACTAAATTTACCTCTTACGAGATTTACTAATATGTATTTAAAAGTTCTAAAACTATTTTTTGTTTCATCACTTTTTTCTTATTTATAGACAGAGAGTCAAGACTTGGAGTAATTTTAGTCTATCGAATATTGTCCTTTTTTTTATTAAAATGAAAAAAAATGCTGCTATTCAGTTCGGTCGTATGAATATATTTAATTTTTTTACTTGTTGTATAAGTATATGTTGTGTGACTGAAGAATTCGATAGAATACCCGTTTGTAATTTTCTGTGTATACATATAGTGTTGAAAGGTGCAAATTCACAAATTTTGTAATAATCATAGGTTACAGTCCAGATGAGATCGAAAACCTCGAAAATCTAGAAGAATTAATGAAGGATACAAAACTTCCTTTGCATGGCTTTTTACCAAATTCAATTTTGTACAAGCGGAAAGAAAAGGAGAGCCCCATAGTTTATGTTGCCGAAGAACCAATAATTAAAAAGGAACCCGTAAAATACAAATATCCTCGTGAATTTTATCCAGTAAGATTTTTTGATATTTTCCATTAATTATTAAAACTACATTTCATCTGTCACAACTAAAAAAAATTTCCAGGAAGAAGAAGAAGAAGAAGAAGAGGAGGAAAGAAGACCATCGATCAGACTGTCGCAGCTCATGGGAATGGATAACGCAAATGTAGAAAATGAGACTTGATCACGGATGCCGTTCACTTTCAAAATCTTTAATTACAAAATATTCAATAGATCAATTATGTACAAAACCACCATCTTTAAACAATAAAAGTCTTTATAACTATTTACAAGGCTTACAACATAAAATAATAACCAATCGCGCGTCACTCCTCTTCCTGAATACACTTTTCCACCAGTTCCCTCAAATTTGGATTTTCCATGGCCGCGGCGATTCTTTCTTTGTCGTTAATTTGCTTGTTTACTGAAATAAATAAATAAATAAATAAATAAAAAAATCAATCATATGATTAAAAAAAAAATGTAAAAAATGCAAAACAAAAGCTGACTTTCTTGTTCCGTGGAGTGGGCACCTTCTTTTATGTAAATATCGAGTTTGAACAGCGCGAGCAGGTGACGCTCCAGTTTGACCCTGATGCACAATCCGATCAAGGTGGCCAGGGAGCAGTGCGGCACCGTAGGGTTGAATTCCACCCTGATGACTGTCACGCCGCCCGGGGTAGCCTCGCAAATCTCGATGCAATCCTCATAAACGACATCGAGCTGCTCGAGCGTCTGCGGTTTCTCGGGATCCCTTATCGTACGCAGCAAATCTGAGGAACAAAGCAAACTCCGTCACTCTGCCAGAGAAAGTAAACATATACAAATTCAACCGTGACTCGGGGTTTTATTACACGCACACTTTTCATCAACATAACCTCTTCCTGTGCTGTTTTGTATCCATATAATTATATATAGGCACTCGTGTGTATATATATATACATATACTTAATATATGCACACATCGTCTGCTCCGGAAAGAGGAAACAGCGACTCCAAAATATACACGGAAACAAAACATACAAAAGACCATGTGTACACAGCACTTTGTTGGTATGATGGATTCATATATACATATACGTGCACATAGATTATTCACCGTAAATGGTCTCTCTGAGCTCCGTCTCGTCCTTGGCGGCGAGATCGTCGCGCTGCTGCATCCTACTACTGTCACTTATCACAACATCTTCGGCATTGCTCATGACGTTGCTGCTGATGTTTGCATCTGGGAGCAGACCATCTCGGATCTTACCACCAATAGACAGCTTACGAAAGAACGATAACATTGCCCCGTTATCCCCTATATGTATATTCTACTTCCTGCATATGATACACATGCAGCTTATTTTCAATACACGCACTATCTCTCTCGAGCTAATTCTGCCTGTGTTTAGACGAATTGAAGCATCTCTCGGTTGTATTTATCCTATATATATGTGTATTTGCCGGTTTGCGTAGCAGAAGATAAAGGAGTCGGCCGTTCTCGTGTTACATCACCCCCGCACACCGATACATACAATCATTGTGCGATGTTCAGAATAACCCAAAATATGAGCTGCCACTGTGAGTATTTTGTTTTTTTGCAAGTTGACTCGACGCTTTTTGAATAGCTCTTTAAATTACGTATATATAGGTGTGCACATATAGTGTATGTATAGCACACGTCGATAGTCGATAGTATAGTGGACAGGCGTGTGTACATGTGGTCGTCTGCGTGTTGACATTTTTTGGAGCAAGTATGGGTTAGGTCTTTGAAAATATATGTGGTACAGAGAAACACACGGATGAATGATACATATACTTTATTGTGACTCATTCGATGATTACGACAAACACTTAATACTTATAGTAATCGGTACTGAATGTACGAAATTTACTGATGTATGTAGTCTATACAAATTAAAACAGTTAGTATACCTATATATGTGATGAAGTACTGACCGAGTCACCTTTTACGGTGTTTATTCATACGTCTACTACTATATATGGAACGAAGTAAAAAAAAAAAGGAATTTGATGATTTATACACAATTATGTCAATATTTTTTACTCATATTCACTAATATGTCGGCTGTACGTGTCAAATTTACAATAATTGTATTTCTCGATTTCATCTCGTTCAAGTAAATAAATAAAGAATAATTTATCATAATCATTAAACGATTCATTTTTTAAGTGTACGTAAAAAATACACTATTTCTACTTGTTACCCTTGGGAAAAACAATTGAATCATGAATTGTGCGTATGCGAGCGCGCGTCCGGAAATAGTAATGATAAAAACCAGACGCGTTCACACGTATGAAGATTGTAATGGCAAAGTGTGGTGAGCAAGAAAAACGAAACAGCCTGTTTAGCAAGAAGGTAGTTTAAATATAGATTATTGCGTAAAATACACTCATCGATATAATTTTACCTTCGAGCTGAATTGGCAGTAGGCAGTTTTTCACTTGTGACGTCATAGATCAATATGGCGATCGATGGGTTAACAAATTTCAAATTCTCACATATACAAAGGGTTGAAAGAATCAATTCACTTGATCGACAGTTGCTTTTTTTTATAAACACTACAAAAATACTCTCCATGAAAAAAAAATTTATTTTTTTCTGCAACAATATTATATACCACTTAATGAATGAATTAATAGCCAAACAGTAAGTAATCAAGAGAATTTATTAAATAATTGTTAAATAAATACTTTCAATGGTGCAAACCCACTTTTATGATGAAAAGCAATCACCTTCTTTTTACAATAATAGATATGTCGATCGTTATTGACATATTATACGACATCGGCGTAAAAATTACGAAAAAATCATCATTAAAGTTATTGACCGCGAATTCTTCGACTATCAAACAATTGAGACACATTGGGGACGCCTTATAGGAATACTCCCTACTCATTCGACAAGTAATAAAAAAAAAAGTTTTTAATGGATCATCTTTTCGTTATAAATAATATTACACAGATAATAGACTCCTCGATCCCACGTTTCGAGCAAATTTGAAATTTCAGCCCACAGTTATCGCCATGTTGGTCGATATGGCGTCTCGAGTGAAAACAGTGGTCGTAATTTCTCTAGGGCCGCACATGCAAAGCGCAAGCGTGGGTGTGTAGACCACACCGGAATAGAAAATAACTAGGTCCGCGAATCATCATAATTATTCGTAAAGTAGGTGTATCGTCATCACACTGCGTATTGTATATTTTATGCGCGCACACTCGCAAACGCGTCCCCCGAGCGCGAAAGTGTGCGGACAAGCAGAGAGGGGGAAAAAAAACAAATAATAATAATTCAGTCATCGTACACCTAAGTGCAAATAAAAAAAAAAAAAATAAAAAAGACAAGTCCCCGGAGCGGAGAGGAAAAAGGAGAGGCTGCTCTCTGGCGTTGCTTCTATCTACAATGCCTTGTTCTGCGTTGCGTTGTGTGCAGTGAATATCGAACACACGTCGCGCAGTGGCTCGAGTTTATTTACCTAAGGCTAACATTTATACCATTTTTTATTACAAAACTCATTCGCGTTACTACGCCACTTTCTGGTGGAATATCCAAATAATATCGCGGTTGTACACGACAACCCTTTTTTTAAAGGGGCTAATGGTAATGTACAACATTTTTATTAAAAAGTAATTTCGAAAAAAGTAAACTCCATAGCCTGTAACTGTGAAACATATAGTGTCCGTCCGTTCATATATGTGCGTACAGCAAGTGTGTATATTATGCAGTGAATCGACTCCGAGCTGACAGGCTCGATTGCAATATAATTTTCACACACTTTTCGAGCACGCTGCTTTCGCAACGTCCGACCAGCGCGTTCGGGAGTGATCTCATTTCGAAGAAAAGTGCCTCATCCGTCCAGATGTACTCGGTAAAACAGTGTGGAAAATGACGTGATTTTTTAAGAAGAAAAAACACGTCCAAAGATTTTTTTACGTGTCGGTGTTGTTTTGTACATCATTTGAGTGATGCCGCATTTTTCATGAATCTTCCCTCCGAACCTCAAATAGCACGCGCTCGAAATCGAGACTCTAAAATTGCCCGAAGCTGATTTTTTTCGTTTCCGTAAAGAATTTATTTACAGAGCGTGGCTGTTTATTTTTCGGGGTGGAGCAAAAATTTCATTTGAAAAAAAAAGCAGCGGTGTTTGTTGATATCGAATATTTACCGTTTGAGAGGCGCCCGATCACGGGTCGCATCAATCGTCCGAGTAAACTTTGAGCTTCAAAATCATGCATCGAAAAATTTTGTTTTTCCTCGCGTGTTTTGCGAAAAATCGACACTTTTCAATCACCAAATGATCGAAACCTCGCCCAAGCTTCAAAAATTTTGTGAAAAAAAAAAAAAAAAAAAAAAAAAAAAAAAAAAAAAAAAAAAAAAAAAAAAAAAAA